CCACAACGCCCGGCTATTTTTTGGTTGCAGCCGTCATTGTTGTTTGGCGGGTCCGGGCTGGGGATTCGAACCCGCCACCCTAGGTGTACGTGGCTGGCGCCTTAGCCGGTTGAGCTATAGGCACCGAGCCAGGAAATGGTATTTCAAAACCATATCCTGGTGCTAGAAAAGCTTATGGCTGCAGAGTGAGGATTACTAGTTCTTTTTAGTGGCCAGATCTAAGAAATACATTTTATCTTAACTAAAAAGCCCAAAACCACAGTTTTAAAAAAAGGGATTTATACTGATACTTCCAGGACAAAGTCAGGATTGCAGAGTTTATATCTACTCTATCTTAAACCTCTGTATCTTCTTCCCACTCATAGAGTATTGGTTTTCAACAACAAGAATGACAGACTTAGAATAATTACTCATTTGCTTTATATGGATTTTTGAATGATGAAATCATCCACTCTCACTATCGCTATACTGAGTGTTTTTCTTCTTTTTTAGGAATCTGATAAAATATATTTTACATTTCCTCTTGAAAATCATAGAAAAATCTACACTCATGCCTATTGTCAGAGCACTATGCTGGTAAGATAATTGATACATTTTATGTAAATCTAAAGGCTGAATATTGTTTACTTTTTGAGCTATTAGTATTAAATCTAAATAGTTGAAAAATATTTAACTTTAACAGTGTTTTGATTTTCTATAGATGACAATATACTATTAAATTGTACTTTTGATTCTAGTTTAGAATCCACCCTGTTTTTCTGCCTTATTTTTACTATGTTCAGGATGAAGGAAATGAATTTAAAATCTCTTTAATTCTAAAATTTTATTAGTACTATAAGTAATAGACATATTTAAACAAAACTATTTTATAAGAATTGCATAAAGTGAATCTTATTTTTCAATGGTTTTCATACCAAAATTTCAGATAATTTTTATAAATACTCTCTAAGATAATAGTTACTGTTACAATGTTATCTAGACTTACTGTATCAGAGTAATGATTTTGTTGCGTTTCTTTTTAATAAGTACCTCCTATGTTAGGCATTGTTAAATAAAAAGTGCTATGTATAGTATGCTTTTGGCATATTAGTAGGAATAGTTAAATCATACTTTCATGAATTATCAACATTTCTTCCTTTTAGAATTACTTTTTCCCAATTTAGTCTCTTTTTCCTCTGTTCTGAATTTTTTTGGGCATGCCTCAAAGTGAAAAGATTCTTCACTTTATATTTGCATCTTTTATGATTTAAATTCCTTATTCTGCCTTTGTTAGGTTACTTTTGGAGTTCTTTAGAACTGAGATTTAATATATCACTTTGGTGGTGGATGCTGCCCTGTGACATATACTAAAGTCTTTTTAAAAAATGGTAGGCAGGCATTGTGGCCTACATGCTAATGAGTATTACATTTTGTGGATTTACCAGAGTTTTGCATCTCTCTCAGAGTCTAGCATCTCTCAGTGTAAAATCTGGTTGAGTACTTTATCCTGGGAGAATCTGGCCCTGTGAGTAATGGCTTAAAATATCCACACTCACTTAATACTGAATCAGTATATCAGTATTAGATATACTGAGTCAGAATATCAGTATTATTATAGAGAAAAATGCTTGCCAAGTGCAAATTATCTGACTGTTTGGAGATAGATTCTCTGCATTTAACATTCATGGATATCAACTAGCATGAAGTCATGAAAAAGATTTGAAAATCTTTTTTCAGTTTTTACTATAGAAGTTTTCAAGCATATATAAAAACAAAATATAATAATGAATTCTTTTAAGACCAACATACAGCTTTAACAATTACTAAGATTCTGTCATTCTTAACTTCATTTATTCCTTCCCACTTTTGTTTTTTTTTTTTAAATAGAGATAGGGTCTCATACTGTTGCCCAGGGTAGGGTGCCGTGATACAGTCCAAACTCCTAGCAACCTTGGACTTCTGGGTTCAAGTGATCCTTCTGCCTCAGCCTCTTGAGTAGCTGGGACTATAAGCATGTATCACTATGCCCAGCTAATTAAAAAAAATTTTTTAGACTGGATCTTTCTGTATTGCCCAGACTGGCCTCAAACTCCTGACCTCAAGTGATCCTCCTGCTTCGGCCTCCCAAAGTGCTGGGATTACAGGCATGAGCCACTCCTCCTGGCTGTTCCCACTTTTTTTGACTGAAGTATCTTTGAAGTAAATTCTAGGTAGCTTCTTATTTTACCCATAAATACCTCAATATGTTTTTCTTTCAGATAAAGATTCTTTTTGCACATTACCATACTGTTATTTCGTCTAACCAAATTAATACTAATTCCTTCATAACCCAGTCCATGTTTCTTCAGTTCACTTAAATTTTATTTGTCAAGATCCAAACAAAGGATATGCATTGCCTTTGCTTCATGGATCATAAGTCTCTTTTATAATAACCCTGTCCCAGCTCGGCATCTGTGGCTCAAGTGGCTAAGGTGCCAGCCACATACACCTAAGGTGGCAGGTTTGAATCCAGCCAGGGCCTGCTAAACAACGACAGCTGCAACCAAAAAATAGCCGAGCGTTGTAGCGGGCACCTGTGGTCCCAGCTACTTGGGAGGCTAAGGCAGGAGGCTTGCTTGAGCACAGGAGTTGGAGGTTGTTGTGAGCTGTGATGCCACAGTACTCTACCCAGGGGGATAGCTTGAGGCTCTGTCTCAAAAAAAAATAATAATAATAATAATAACCTAGTCCCTTTCCCCCCATGACACTATTTGCTAAAAAAAGTTGGTTATATGCTTTATAGAATTTCTCACATTCTGTGTTTAGCTAATAGTATTCTTGTATTATCTTTTAATATATATTTCTGTCCCTTGTGTTTTCTGTAAACTGGCCATTAGATCTAAAATCTTGATTAGATTCAGATTAATTTTTGTGGTAATATTTTATAAATAGAGCAATATACCTCATATTTCATCATATCAGGAAATGTGCAATATCTATTGTTTCCACTTCTTGTGATACAAAGGCATCAGTGGGCTAAATTTTATCATCATGATCCATTCATTATAAAATATATACATCTTTTACCTAATGATTTTAACAGCTGTTGAAGGCATTGTTTTTCACTGTAAATAGAATTTTTAGAAAACTGCAAATTTTTTTATTCAAAGCATTTTCTTTCTCATCTACTTTAGGAATTTGTCTGTAATGTCTTCTGTGGCTTTGGATATAATTAGTGAGTTAGGAGCATTTTCTAATAACTTTAAATTGTTCTGTTGGCAGCTAGGTTATATCTATATGATATTCATCATGGGCTTGCATAATATATTATCATTTCAATCCATTGATGCCTGAATCAGAACTCTCTTATACACATATAAGTAAGTGTGGAGAATATTGGCATTTTTCATAATGAGGACTACCTTAGAGGATAGGCTCCATTAGTAGCTACAAAATTCGTTATAGAAGTGGGTTGAATCTTTAGAGGCTGCTGGGTCTTTAGAGATTTCCTTTATCTTCTGGGCTATGAAGATCTGTTTTGTTGCCTTGCTTTGTAATGTCACATTATTCTGGGAAGTAGAGGTAACTGATAGAAGACACACAGTATTTTGCCAGCAGGAAAATATCATATTTTTTAAATTTATTTTCTATCAACTTTCTTTTCTATATTCTTGAAAAATTTCTTAAAACTTTATTTAAGCTAAATGAGAGAAGAGACTACATCTACCTGATCCATCATTTTGCTTCAGTTTTTGGCATATAATTCCTTGGCCCAGAATGGACTTTATAAATACTAGTTGAAAAAAAAGGATTGATTGTCCTACCAGTAATTTTAAGGACAAATTTATGTATCTGTCTAAGCAGTGCTTCTCATTCTGTTATGTCCTGGTAGGATTTCGGTAGTTGGATCATCGTATCTTAGAACATTGTTCTTAAAAGTTTGAGTGAAGATCTTAGGTTATACCACTCTTTTTTTTTGCAGTTTTTGGCTGGGGGTGGGTTCGAACCCACCTTCCCACCTCTGGCATATGGGGCCGGCGCCCTACAGGTTATACCACTGTTAAATGGCTAAAACTGAATACAGAATGCTGTTAAAATAAGTCATCTCTGTAGTATTCCTGTCCAGGTGCTGGTGAAATAATAACTAGGTTTAGTTTCAAACCTTTGGAATTGTGCTTCAGTCCAAACACATTCTTGGTTATATGGAAGTTACTTTCTAGTAATGAAATGAGAATTCAGGTGATAAAGTAAAAAGCTGTACATAGGTTAAATGTTATTTTTAATTGTTTGACTCTGGATTTTGTTTGTATTAAAGTCTACTTTCATTCTTTCTGTTTTTGTTAAAATGTAGGTTACTTACTATATAACCATCTAATTAATGTATGGATGTTACTGAACTTTTTGAAAGTTTTGGTTCAACAAGTAGAAATGCGTATGTTGTAGAAAGATACTCATTGGGTCACTCTTTCTCATACCACTGCTCCAGGGTAACTGCCTACTGATCCATGTTGACGGTAGACTTTCTTTTTTGTTCTGTCCTTGACTTATTTGACATATCTTGGATATTTTTCTCAGTAACTGTTAATTTATGTTTTCCTTGGCTTCTGCTCAACCCATCACTTAACAGTAAAATGTTAAAGATGCTTGTTTTATATGATTATTTTCTAAAATATTTAATGTTTTGTTTTGTTATTAATAAACAGGATACAAATAGTTGGATTTTTGGCTGTATAAATAGCACTTCTATGTGGTAAGTCCTTTGACCCCCATCACCCTCCCTTGTTCATTTTTCTCAGCATAAACAGTACTCAAAAATCACACTTCTAGAATAGTGTAATGCATTCTTATGCTAGCTCTGATGCTAGATTAAATTATAGTATTACATTTAAAGTGAACAGGAAAGGAAAAGCATATACTAGGAATTTTTGCAAACATTGGAAGTGATTGTTAGGAAAATTTTTTTGTTGCCAAGGGAACTATGTGGGCAGAGTGTTTGGATTAAATTTATTAGATATTGGTTCGTTTATAACTCTCTCTACTAGGTCTGTAGATGCTTTCTTTTTCCCCAGAAGTTTATTTATAATTTATAATACTTCAACGTATTTGTCTTTTAATTATATTTTCATATTTATTTCAAAGCCGGCAAGGGGTTGATTTATCATGGAAAGCTGAACTGCTGCCAACAATTAAGGTAAATTATGGCTTTAGAGTTTTAATACTCAGGTGAAAAATTACTTGAGCCTACGGACATTTCATAATATGCTCTTTTATTCATTTATCTAGGTGTTAAATAAGCTTGAAATTTGCTAACCCACATTTTAGAAATATTTTCTCTAAATATACATTTGATAGAGAATAACCTGCAATTAGTGGGGGTTTTTTCACTTTCAGGGATTAAAATCTATAAATTAACAATCCTCTAAATCTCGGTGTGTTACAATATCATACCAAATGAGCTGGATAGATTTTTAAAGTTAAATTTGAGGGTATGTTTGAATGCTCCATCTTAAAATATAAGTTGAGTAGTGTGCTGAGAATTCATGTGGGAAGGAAGAGCCTGCAGTAGGGAAGTGAGCATCTCAGAAAGGACACAAAATAATTTTCCATATGGACTTCAGCATACCTCTGTGGTCAAGTGCTTGGATTACAGCTTTTATCTAGTGCTTTCTGGGGTCATAAATCACAGCAGGGATTTATATTTAATGATTAATATATTAATTAAATTAATAATTATTAATTTAATTAATATATTAATCAGTAATTATTTTAAAAAATTTGTGGTAGATCTATCTATCAACTCTGGTAGATCAGTAAAGTCATTTATAAATGGCTAATTTGCATAGTCTCAAAAATCTATTGTTGAAAAAGTAAAATAATCCTAAAATTTGATGAAAATACCTGTTCTGATTTCCCAATTGTATTTATTGCATTTGATAATCTTATGCCAGGGTTGATAGTTTTTAGTCTGCAAGCAAATCTGTACTTTAAAAATAAAATATATTTTTATACTGAATCTTAGACTCATTAATTTGAAAGTGAAGTCATCTAGTCAGTCCTAATCATCTTCCAATTAATTTAACTTTGATTAAGTTAGTTGACTTTGCTTATGATTTTTTTAATATTATACATATAATCAACTCTCTACTATACTAACAGAAGCAAATTACCAACAATGGTAACAGAAGGAATAATTGCAGATCACTCACACTTGACTTTGGAATGGTTGCAGTTTTATCTCTTGGTCAGTCTTACATTGTGCATATTCATTCATGTGGCTTTGTATTTATCAAACAGATGTCATAGGAAAGTAAGTTGGCTCAGGAACATTTTCAGGATCTCTCACTGGTTCTATACCAAGCCAAACAAACAATAGTGTTAGAGTATGCTTATTGACCAATAATTCATCCGGTATGTTAAATATTTCCTTGGATTTCTAATTTGGATATTCTGTCCCATCTTTAAGAGTTAAGATGAAATAAATGATTAAAAATAACCTCATAAAATGTACTTCACTCCTCTGTTTTAAAAGGTATAAAATCCTAGTATTTTTTAATCTCTAAAGATTAAACAATGTCTTCATCAAGCGCTAGATCCATATGAAACAGCTGGCTATCCAACAGAACAAGCTATTTAAGCTACTTAGTTTTTAGGGTGAATGCTGAAAGAGGAAAGTTAGAAAATAAGGATTATAGCATTTTGCAGTTTTTGTCCTTCTTAGCTTTAAGAGGATTGTAATTATTAAATGTAAGCAAACTTCTCCATTATAATGAAAATGAAAATTTTATATTACTTGTGTTAGCCATTTGCATAAACAACACACAGAGTTATTTTGCCATGAAATTGAAGGGATAATTAAAGTGAAAAAATTTTATAGGTCTTATTCATATTGGTATCATAGCAACAAAAGTAATGTCAAATGAGAATTTTATCACTTTTAGAAATTTCTGGTGACTGAACTATTAGTAACAAGATGGAACTCTTCATCATAGCATATATAAGTTCAGCACTTTACCATTGTTGAGAATGAATATTTAGATGTTAGTAAAAAAGATGATTACACAGAATATCCAAGTTCTTCCTAATTAATTTATCTTTCACACTATCTACTATTTGTCTGGTGGATCTCAGCTACCTGTAACTGTGGCTTATATGGTCCTTTAATCACATTAGCATATGTGAGTGCTGCACAGACTTTGCTAAGTTGGGGCAAATGTGGGAGTTTATCTTTGACAAGCACTCCCACGTGAATCTGGTCAGTGTGTTAGAAGTCTACTCCTTTATGGTTCTTTCACTCTGGCACCTCTGTCCAAATTGCTTCTGAAGAAGATTGAAGAAATAGAAATTTATTAATGCAATCATGTTGTTATAACTACTCCCAATCCACATCTGCTTCCAGAAGAAAAACTGGATTAACAACTGTACTTGTTGGCTTGGCTTTCATTAAAAACACCAGTCTTCTACCCACTCATTCCCCAAAATATAGATAGTAGGATCTGGTTTCATGGAGAGAAAGAATAGTTATTCACTTGGTAAGGTGCATTATTTAGCCATATTGTGTGTTTGTCATTTACAAAACAAATTTCAGGGGATGATGTTAATATGTATTATTAGCCAGCAGTTTCTTACTAGATGGGCTATGTCAGAACCCAGAGATTACATTGTAACTTTTCATCGTATTTAACGTCCATTCATTCATTAGCTGTCAGTGCTCTTTGTTATATACTACCAAAATAAATGCGGAAATAATACTGTAAGGTTATATGTGAGAAATAGTCAAATTATAAAAATAAAGACATTAAATCTGGAAGTAACTATATAAAATAATTAAATTTAATTGGCATTTGTCTTCTGTGAGGGATATTTCAAGGAATATTTTTGGCAGTCCATATTTAACATAATAAGTAGGAATTTGACTTTCAGCAAGATTATTGACCTGGAAATGTAAACATGATCATTTTATGAAGTACTGAACATAAATTTGAAATCTGCTTTTGAAAGTAACTAATTAAATAAGAAATGTTTTTGTAGTGTATCTTTCTTTTAACATACATTAATCACTGTGTGTGTGTATTCTAAGCAATAAAAGTAGCTTATCTTTTTTTTTTTTTTTTTAGTCTCTGATGTTAAGACTTCAAGACTATCCCTCTTTGTCTCATCTTGTTGTTTATGTACCATCTATTCATGGAAGTAAGGTAACAATTAGATTAAAATGTTATCAGAATGTTTTGGGGATACTTGTGGTCCATTTTAAAGTTTTTTGTTTTGTTTTGTTTGTTTGGTTTTTTGTGAGTTCTTCTGCACAGGGTTTATCTAAAATAACAGCTAGTTTGGTGATCCGCGTAAGACTGTTATGTCATTAGGATCATTTGCTCCAACTTGAACTAAGCAGAATAAACCTAAGTCCTTTTGTTCCAAGTGAGAACTGTTCCCAGTTTATTAGTCTTTGAAAATCTGTTAATTGTTAGGTACCCTTTTATGTATAAGGTTTTATTCTAGGAATTACAGGAGACGCACCAATGAGGAAGACATGAAACCTGTTCTTAAAAAGCTACATACTGTTGGATAAGGGGAGAGATTTATTTGGGAACAGAAGAGTGAGAAAAAGGAAGTACCCAAATATATATAATACAAACCAGAATATAGAAAGTACATGAAAAATGAATAGGGGGGGAGATACCTGTTATTGATGGAGTCAAGAATGGCTTTCTAATGACGTGATAGTTACAACGGTCTTAAAGTGGGTATAGTGGCAGCCACTTGTTGTGCAAGCTACTTAGGAGACTGAGGCAGGAGGATTGCTTGAGTCCAGCAATTTTGAAGCTGTAGCAACCATTAATCAGGCATATCCACTGTACTCTAGCCTGGGCAAAATAATGAGACCTTGTCAGTTGAAAAGAAAAGAAATAAAATGGCCTTGAAGGATAGTAAAAATTTTTATAGGTGGAATTTTAGACCTGTATTACAAATATGGGAATCACTAGGACATACGACTGTTTGTATTTAAATACAGTTTAAAATTCAGTCCCTTGTTTTAGCCACATTCCAGATGCTCGATAATAACATCATTGTTGAAAGTTATAATGGACAGCATTGTTCAGATAAACAAACAGGGAGTGCAAAGCCTGGGTTATATTTGAAAAGCAGTGAATAAGTAAATAATAATTTTGAAATGATGGCCACTATAGGTAGAATAATAATGGAAGAAAGTCTGGGAAAGTAGTTTATGGCCATATGTTGAGACCTTGATTGCAGAATTCAGGATTTTATAGCAGTCAGGAGTTAGTAGGATGCCATAGGTTTTTCACCATAGGAGTAGTGGGATCAGAGATTATTTAAGAGATTAATCTGGGTGCAGGATGGGTCTGAAGCAGAGAGACTAAGTACCTCCTAAGGGGTTGAGGGCTTGTACAAGGTCGAAGACCCCCTGATTCAAAAACTTAAAACCCAAAACTTTTTTGAGGGTGACCTAATGCCATAAGTGGAAAATTCCACCCTGACCTCATGTGGTAAGCTGCAATTAAAATTTTGTTTCATGCACAAAATTATTTAAAACATATAAAATTACCTTCTGGCTATGTGTGTATGAGGTATGTATATGAAACATTAAAGTATTTAATAATTAGACTTGGGATTTCATCCCTAAGGAAAGATTAATTATATACAAATATTCCAAAATCTAAAACACTTCTGATAACAAGCATTTTGGATAAGGGATACTTTTCCTGTACTGGGGAAGTGAAAGTGTGAAATAAAAAGATAGGATTTGGAGAGAATTAATGAGGAAAAAAGAAGATGGGGGTAAAGGCCCTTTTCCTATTTCACCCAGCAAACTTATCCTTCAAGATTCAATGTAAGTGTCTCTCTTTTCCTTTTCTAGACTCTTCCAGTAATCTTTTACTTACTCCTATGATACTTTGTTTATAACTTCTTAAGAAATATATTGCATTGAAGTATAATTTATTTTGTGTGTTGCTATTGCCATTACCATATTGTGAACTCTTTGGGAATAATAACCAAGTAGATTTTATTCTATTTTGCATTCTCAACTTTTCTTTTTTGTAAACATGTAACCACGCCCAACAGGGTTGCTGTATTGGAGAAAGGGCCATGGAGTTAGCAATGTGGAAACGGTGGGGGGCTGAGGCTAGGAAGAACACCCTCCCCTCCCCATAGTGACTACCACAGAAATACTCAAAACAAGGTGTTTTTGCATGAGAAAGTTGATGAGATTTGTGGCCAAAATAATTAGGAAAATTTAAAAGAAATAGAGAAAGGAAAAGGGGATGTAGTAGGGAGTCATCTCAAAGACTACCATGTTTCCCCGAAAATAAGACAGTCTTCTATTTATTTTTTTCTCAAGAAGACATACTAGGGCTTATTTTTAGGGGATGTCTTATTTTTATTAAGTATAATGCAACAATCTACATTTATTCACATACAATTAAGCCATCTTCTTCTGGAACCTGACGGAGGAGCCAATCTTGTTGGTGGGGCTGGCGCTAGTGATGCATGAACTCCTTTCCCTTAGCCATTCACATGTGCACAATAGGTTGCTTGCAACCACTTTTACCACACGCACCTGTGCAAGTGCAAACAGCTGAGAGAAAGGAGCTGTGGCAGATAAAAGGTATTCCAGTCTTCCTTACTGCTCCGTGCTGAAATGCATGGCATATCTGCATAGCCACACCCATCACTAGGTCCTATTATCAGGGTGGGGCTTATATTTAACAAATGCATAGAAATCCTGGTAGGGCTTATTTTGGGGGTAGGTTTTATTTTCGGGGAAACACGGTAAATCTCACAGGTACCTTATACTGGATTGTTTTGTATTGCTTAGCTCAAGTGAGAGGTAATTCAGCATCTTCAATACTAAAAGCTCTCTTTAAGGGTTTTTCTGGCAGGTAAGTTGGTTTAGAATGAATGTAACATTTTCCCCAAATTTGAAAAGTCCCTTTCTGGTTATTCTAAGAAATTAATGAGCTTTTCTGCAAATAGACAGTCTTAGCAGCCTAATAAATATATAAGTCTTGACAGTCTTTGGAAAGTAACTCTGCTGCTGACTTTACTGTCTGACAGTCCTATCTTCCTAGAATAATTATATATCCTAATACCCACTGTAAAAAAATTTGATGGGCATGGCCATTAATATACAGTAAGTATATTCAAATACCCACTGTAAAAAAATTTGAATTAACTGATATCTTAAGATATTTTTAGAAATGCAGACATGAAATTATCTGCATTTTTCTTGATGACAGAAAACAAAACAACTAAATGTTCTTTCCTTGGATGCTTTAAAGACCTTTGAATTGGGCAGCACCTCTGGCTTGAAGGAGTAGGGCGCCGGCCCCATATGCCTGAGGTGGTGGGTTCAAACCCAGCCCTGGCCAAAAACTGCAAAAAAAAAAAAAGACCTTTGAATTTTCTCTTTCTTGGGTAGGGAGTTATTCAATTATGCAAAACTAAAGGCACAGCCAAATTTTTAAAACAATAATAAAAATTCTATTATTTTAACTAACTATACAAAATGATTTAAATTACTTTTAAAAACTGCTTTCCTGTCTGAGGTAAAGGCTAACCAAAAAGTACTTTGTAAAAATATAATAATATAAATAATCCTGTTTGATAAACCACTTCTCTAGTATTTTAACAACTGTTTTCTGTAATGAAAATACCTGACTTTGTTCTTTGCCTTGTTAAGAGGGAGAAATATAAGCAAAACTCGTTAACAAGTTTTTCCTTTTTTTCTCACATGTGTACTCTGCAATTTCTCTCATCTGTTTTTCACATTCAAAAACAAAAATCTACCCAAGAGGCAAACGAAGTACCACTGCTTCTATTCTAACACATCCGAGATGTAGTTGTTGGAAAAAGCCTAGGATAGACGGTGCTGGCTTTCCACTCTGTAGACAGCAAATTACTGTACTTGCTAACTACAGTCAGGCAGTAGAGTTGTTTTTCTTTATCTCTTACAGAACAAAATAATGTGCTTCTTGGAGATTATTTTAATGAAGTTGTTCCTGTACCAGAAACAGTTCCTTTTGCAGATTACTGAGAGCAAAATTTCTTGCACAGTTGTAGAAATATTACTAAAAAAGAAATGTTGTCACTCAAAAATTGTAATGGTGTAGATATCACATTGTAGGTTTACAGTTTTGAAAAGCATTTATTTTTCTTCATATGTGCTAAACGTTTTTCCATTTATTGTAATAACTATTTAACCTGAAATAATTTTACATGAATAACGTTAGTCATCTATTGGTGATGGCAATATGTCTCCAAAGGCCTGAGTATAAATAAGAAATGAAAGATTTTTTTTAAAAAGGTGATGTAAAGAATCACATTTTCCTTTTGACTCTGAAAGTATCTGCAAGTATATTGTCTAAACCCTTAATCTTGAATTACCTTTGCCTCTTAATGCTTTGATCCCTCCTTTAATGTTCTTTTTCTACAAATACCTAAAACTAACTATAAAAAAAAAACATGGCTATGACTGTCTTATTCTAGAAATAACCCTCTAACATTTATATATTTAATTAAGTTTTGCTTGCTTATTAAATTTTCTCACATAGCATCTCTTCTTAAGGAATCCTTGCCACTTAAGTATAGCCAGTTACAGTGTGATAGATGATATTTTCTCTAAAACTGAACTTTATAGACTTTTTATTTTCCACTGAAACATCAAGTGAAGATATTTTACTAAAAATTTTACTTTTTATTAATTGAATGTTTTGTATTTTAGTTTGTTGTAGATTGTGAATTCTTTAAAGAAGAGACAAGATCCATACAGCTTCCCGTAACTCATCTTTTTTCCTTTGGTAAGTTCTTTGTTTGGGAAATCTTAAGAATTGTTTTTTATTTTTAAGATAGTACTAACTTATTTTGCCAGTTAGTTGCAATAAAGTAAAGCCTTATAATGCCAAATATTGTATATTTCAAGTCTTATTCTTGGAATAACTACATGACAGTGGTTCAGTGGTTTGATTCTCATTTAATAATGAGCTAGCAGTCATCTTCTGAGAAGTGAACTGTAAGAGAAATTTCTCCATAATCACATACATTTGCAGATAATTGTGTATATGTGTTTTTATGTGAAATTTATCCTAAATATTGACCCTTCTTATAAATTGTATTATATAGTATAAATTGCTATCTGCCTTATGGAGGTCTCAAGGTTTCTCTTGATATTTTGTTTTATTTTATTTTATTTTGTTCATTTATTTATTTATTGTTTTGAGATAGAGTCTCACTATGTCACCCTTGGTAGAGTCCATGGCATCACATCTCTAACTCTGGGGCTTAAGTGATTCTCTTGCCTCAGCTTCCTAAGTAGCTGGGACTACAGGCTCCCTGCCACAGTGCCCAGCTATTTTTGTTGTTGTTTTTGTTATTGCTGCTTAGCTGGCGCGGGCCAGGCTCGAACCCCCCAGCCTGGGTGCATATGGCTGGCGCCATAACCTCTGCACTACCAGTGCCGAGCCTATACTTTATTTTAAAATAATTTTAGACTTATAGAAAAGCCACAAAAGAATAGAGGTCCTGTATATTTTTAGCCCATCTTCCCCAAATTTGACTTCTTCTACAATCACAATACAATTTGTAAAACTAAGAAATTAGCATTGGTCCAATACCTACATGCTGTTAACTCTAAGACTGTTTTTAGTTTCCACCAGTTTTTCTAATGAGGCCTCCTCCTCCCAGTTCCCCTGTTGCATTTAATTGTCATGTTTCCTTAGTCTCCTGTGAAAGTTACTCAACTTTTTCATGTCTTTCTAAAACCTAAAACCTTTAAAGACCTGGTCATTTATTTTGTAGAATGTCCGTCAGTTTGGATTTGTCTAATGTTTTTTTATGATTAGATTGAGGTTATACATTTTTTGTCAAAAACACTGCAGAAGCAATGTACATTTCTCAATATATCATGTCAGTGTATACATGATGATATCTCTAATTACTGAACCTATGTTACTGTGTCTCTTAGTTGAGGTGGCACCTGTCAGGTTTCTCCACTGTAATGTTACTGCCTTTCCTTTTTGTAATTAATAAATATCTTGGATAAGGTACTTTAAGAGTATGTAAATATCCTGATTTTCTTCAAAATAATCTACTAATTTTAACATCTATTGGTTATTTAGTCTTTAGCAAAGTATTACTCTGGTATCCCACATTTATTAGAATTCTTCTTGAGGTAAATTTGTCCTAGCTCCCTATTCATGTATTTATTCACTTGTTATTTATGTCAGTATTGTCTCATGGATATTTATTTTATTCATTGGGTTATAATCCATTCTTACATATTTTTGGCTTAAGTTGTTCCAGCTTTAGATATTGGGAACTCTTTTAGGTTGGGTCTTGTGTTCTTTTGGTATGCCCCATCCTTAAAATATATATTTTATATGCCATCATGGAAAGTATCTGTGTTACTTGAGAAAACTTCCTTTAAGGTCTTTATCCCTCCCCTTTCCCTTTTGGCTTTGTTTCTGGTAGAATGTGAACGTCTTAAAACAATAACTAAGAAAATGACATGAAGGCTATGTTAACCAGTTTGATGGAAGTGTTTCAGATTGTGTGTGAAAACCCCACACTGTACCCCAGAAGTGCATTAATGTACATAGTTACCATTCGATATAAAAAAAAAAAAGAAAAACACTGAGAACCATACAGAAATGACAACTCTGAATCATCCGTATCATTGAAGATAGCCAGCTAGTAAATAAAACATCTACCAAGAAAGTATGTTTTTCTGAAATTGGAAATAGGTACTTGACTTTAAAAAACACATAGATGTAATTGAAAATCATAAATATGCTTTGTCTAGAGTTTATTGTAGGATTGGATTTTAGGAGTTCTGTCCTCCACACTGAAATGAAAACCTGTAAATTGTTCTTTAATGTCAAAAAACTATTAGCATCATATCAATGTTAAGTAGTCAGTACATACTTTAAAATGCTTTGATAATCTAAATTATACAGTACCTTTAATTCAATAGGATTGTCTTCAAGGAAAGTGGTATTAAATACAAGCGGCCTGTACTACAATATAGAGCTTCTGAACTTTGGACAGGTAATTATCCTGACTATAACAAAAAGGATTTGATTTTATTTCACTTTTTTAAACAAACAAATAAACTTTTGTTTTTTATTTTTGTGGTTAAACCTCTATTAGATATATCAAGCTTTTAAAATCAACGTGGTAAGCAAGTGCTCAGGAGCCAAAGGTAAATAAATGTACTCTCTGAAACATATATAAGAAATAGTATTGTCATTTGAAGAATCAACGGTTCTTCATTTGAATTTTCTGTGATAATTGTTCTTCCTTATATTTTTATGTGAAATAAATATTATTTGCTTATAGAAGAGATAATTACATTTCCAAGGGAGTTGACAAGATCCTTTCTTAAGTAAAGCATCTTTGTTTTAGTTTAAATATTCATATTTTAAAAATACTCTGTATCTTTGTTTCATTATAGTAGCAATTCACATTTAGCTATTTAATATTTTTCTAGTTTCTTCATACTGCCCATGTATTCTACTATCTTTTGTAAATCTAATTAAATTATTACTATTTAGGAATTCTCTATAATTTTTTATTGTGTGATATTATTCTTATTGTTTTTTATGAAATGGGCAATTATATCATTACTTAAGTATTGTAGTAACTTATGTAACATTTAGGATAACATAGTAATACATGTTTCCTTTGTGTTTTAACAGAAGAAATAACTAGTATCTATAAATTTCATATTCCCTGGTCTTATGAAGATTCACTAACTATTGCGCAGTAAGTATATGAAAGAACTTTAAGCTTTGCTGTTTTTGAAGAATACTCTACTTAGTTTACTTATTTAAGTCAGATGAATTATCAAACTGCCCCAATAAAAATGTCTGTTATCTTTTATGTAGCTTTATGCCCATAATTTAATAAATAGTATTCTTAGTAAATTATATAGAACTCAGACGTCACTTGCTTGAGACATGAACTACCTCCCATCCTCCCTCCCAACTCCTGTGTCCTGGAAGGATCATTCAGATAATTGTGCTGTGACTGGAAAAGTGTTTACTCACAATAATGTATCTAGCATCTAGCTTCCACTCTACATTATTTCATTGTATTGTGTTGAGGACTGACTTAGCCGTGCATTTCTTTCTTTTTTTGGAGACAGAATCTCACTGTGTCACCCTTGGTAGAGTGCACAGCTCACGGCAACCTCATACTCTTGGGCTTAAGTGATTCTCTTGCCTCAGCCTCCCAAGTTGCTGGGACTACAGGCGTCCACCACAATGCCTGGCTATTTTGTTGTTGTTGTTGTTGCAGTTGGCATTGTTGTTTAGCTGGCCTGGCTGGGTTAGAACCTGCCAGCCCCGGTGTATGTGGCTGGCGCCGGGACTACTGTGCTATGGGCACCAAGCCTTAGCCATGCGTCTTTAACAGCATTTTGTGTTTGAGAATTGATATTTAAGTTATCTCTTCAGGGTTCCATCTTCTACCGAAATTTCTCTGAAACTCCATATTGCTCAACCAGAAAATGATAGCCATGTGGCATTATTAAAAATGTACACATCACCAGACTGTCAGTATGAGGTGAGTAGTATGTTTACTTAATCTTCAAGATAGGATAAACTATAAATCTTTTCTTTCTTACTTCTGCCTCAGATACTAGTGATGCGGAAGCCAATAAGTATAAGAAATGCACTTTTAAAATATTTCAGATATTCTCCGTTTTGCCTATTAGCACCACCTCAGTATTTACTTAGCTGGATCATTTGAAAAAATATGTATCTCTTAATAAATAATTGAAAATAAAACAAAAATCAAGACTACAGTTTAGCCTTCTAAATTTTGAAGCCCAAGGTCCAGAATCACCTACAGTTGAAGAACATGAAAGCAGCTGACTTGGCTTTACTGCAGTAATTGACCTGAAGTCTATTGGTTTACAGCCCTACTGGGTTAGCGTAGGAACTTCTTTGCTTTTCACTAATTATTTTAAGCTCTGTTAGTCATTAAGATGTGTGACTTAGTACCTGTTATGTCTGCTTTATAATCAAAGTAGATCTCTTTGTGCTAAGAGAAGAGGAATAGACTTGAGGGTAAAATTTTATTTACTTAGGGATTCAGGAACTTAAAGAGTCCCCAGATTCCAGATTTAAGTGGTTAAAGTGCACATTTCAGTGGTGGTGACGTCCGTGCCCTCTGGTTTATGTGTAGCATCTTATTTCAGCTTAACTACTTTAAACCAAACATATATACTTGTATTTTTATTAGAGCTAACTGTCTTAGAGTAAACTAGGATCGATATCCTCAGATTTACAAATCTACTACTATCTATTGTCTGTTCTTACAACCAAGTTTCAGTTCAACTTATATTATAAATTTATATTTCATGGAATTTACAGATGTTTTGATATCTTGCATTTATTTAATAGTGAAGACATGTACAGGGCAACAGTGGTTTTTAACTTGCGTGTTTATATTTTTAATATTAAAGTGATAGAATTGAAAATTGTGTTAATAATTTGGCTACAAATGTGGCATGCTCTCAAAATGTCCGTGTTTTTACAAATACTGCATATTTTCAAGAAGTCTATATTTTGACAAAATTATCATTTTATAACTTTACTAAGAAAGGTTTATCTCCTTTTCCCAGACTTCCTAATATCAAAAAAGATATATTTATTGTAACATAATGAAAGACAAATTTCTGTTTAAAATATTACTTTGGCTTAAATTCCTTTAGTTGGTATGGTCTGGTAATAAATTATTCTGGTTAATTAAGAATTCTAGTTAGTAAGGAGTTACCACACATACATAGCATTCATTCAGTTGTCAAAGAATTAGAATATGGGAACATGTGCAAAAGAGTAAAGCTGCACTTAATATAATTTAAATGGTGGTTCAGAAGATTCTTTAAGATCTTGAGTGCCTTCAGCTTTATCATTATAAAAAATTAATATGCTTAGAGATGTGTAGAAGTGCTTGTTTTAATAAAATATGAACTGGAGGAATTGAGAGGAAAATAACCTTTTTTTGTTTCTTTTGACAATTATCTTAAACTAGGTCACAGTTAAGACTTCTTTTTCACAAATACTTGGACAGGTAAGAGAGACTCCTGGTTGGTTATTATTGACCTGTGAATAGACATTATAAGGAAGAGATTACAGACTTTTACTATAAAGGGCTAGATAAACAATAATTTAGCAGACTACATGCAGTCTCTTTTTGCTGTTGTCACCACTGCAACGACTTTCTCCTCTTCTTCTTCTTTCTTTTCATTCTTCTTCCACTTTAATAAAATATAAAAACCATTCTTGGTCTACGGGCAGTAGTCGGCCAATGCCTGCTTTAAGGTGATGCTTTCACATTTCATATATCCAGGAAATAAGAGCTGATAACTGATTCTCAAACAAGTTAATATTTTTGGCTAAATGAAGACTTCATGTTGCTCATACTATATTATAATCCATTGTATAGTAAAATCTGTAGACCTTTTCAAATAAATGAACATTTTCAAAGAATTTTTTTTATTACGTGTGCTTAGTTTATAAAAGGTAATAATACATTCCATTAAAGACAAATGTGTTGTAATTCACTTGGAAATTATGTTACAAGAGTAATTTATCAAGCAGTAGAACTATAGATGTTATTTATTATTGTTAATATTTGCAGAATTGTGCAACGTGGACAAACATAGGATAATATTAATTAGGGAAATTATACACTTTTAAAATTCAGTAAAATTTTATTGTGCCTTTTATTACTTTTACTTTATTTTTTGGTCTGTTGTATTTTTTGCAATCCAGGCATAGTAGTTTTTTTTTTTTTACTTTGTCATTTCTGTAATTACAATAAAACTCAAAATTAGAAACAGTTTTATATACATTATTTCATTTGATTCTCATAGCAACCCAGTGAAACCTAGATTGTGATTGTTAGTGAACACTACAAAATTCTAAGTTAATGTGTAAAAATTTTGTGCTAAATTAGGATGTGAAGATTAAATGTTAATGTAAATTGAAAAATAATGCCAGGTGGAGTGGCTCCCGCCTGTAATCTCAGCACTCTGGGAGGCTGAGGCAGGATTACTCAGGAATTCGAGACCTGCTTGAGCAAGTGTGAGACCCCATCTCCACAAAAAATAAAAAAATTAACCAGGCATCGTTACACACATCTGTAGTCCAGCTACTCAGGGAGGCTGAAGTAGGAAGATTGCCTGAGCCTAAGTGCTAGAGGTTGTAGTGAGCTATAATGACACCACTGCATTCTACCCAGGGGAACAGAGTGAGACTCATAGGACATGGATATTTATAGTAAGTATTCTAAAATGTTAAAGGACCAGCTATTAAATTCCTTATAATATAGGGGTAAAATTCATGCTGTTAAATTTCTAGTATGTCCAAAAGGCATATTACACAGTGATTTGGGGTAAAGATATAACATACTCTTTTAGCTCTGTCATTACTGTAGCTCATAATTTAGTTTAGTGACAAGAAAAGTCAAATTAGCCTGATATTCAACAGTCAAGCATAATTATGTTGTATACCAAAAGATGACAGACTAATATTCTTGTTTAGATAAGGGAAGTCTTTCTACAGAATGAGGATATACAGGTAGGTGTTGCAGGATCAGAGGTTTTTTTTTAAGGTCAAGTAAAGAAATTGTGGTGATTGAATTAAGTTCTTTCCAAATTATTGAAAAGATACAAGATGTTCTTTGTGTTTATTTAAAAATTTAGCTTGTAAAAATAAAAAATACAAAAAATAAAAATTTAGCTTGTAGGCAGTAAGAAAATGAATTAAAGTTATGTAATGTTTGTTTTTTAAAAATAATACATAATGTGGCTCATTTAGTCACAGACGACTGGGAAAAAGGAATAAAGAGGAACCACTTAGGAGAATCTTCAGCCTTTGAGTAGATAATTTTTTATAAAATTAGTATTTTTCTATAAAAGGAAAGAGAAAAATGTATTTACTTATTTTTTAGTCTACTCTTATGAAAAAGAAGGCAGAAAGTAAACTAAAAGTTACTTTCTTAGGAGAATTCCATAAACTCTAGTAAAATCATTTCTATGTAGGAATAAAGTCTAGTGTTGCCAGATGTTTAGGTTTTTAAGAAAAATTAGAAATCTTCAGTTTTAAATTTCCAGTTGTATGTTTTATTATGCCTTTGATGAAAAGTCAGATGTTTCTAATATGCTATATATTATTAACATTTACTTTACTCAGACTCTTTGATGCTCATTACTAGAATTATCTTTGTGGATGTGTCAGGGAAGATAAAATTAAAAACCATTTAATTTTTCAGTGTTGGTATTTGATTCAAAATTTAAAGAAATGCCATACCAAATACTAAGCCCAATGATAACACGTCTCCATTTGCCCATGGAGACCAGTTTATGATTGTTCATTTTGTTGTATTTTATATACCTATCTGTTTCTGTAGCTCTGTGTAACACTTATTACTCACAACAATAATACTCCATCATTAAAAGAAATTTATGTTCAGAATACTGTATATAGCCTCTTAAAAGATCCTAAAGACAGTAATGGGTATTAAAAGTAATAATAACAGCTAACGTTTATTTACCACTTACCATATGCCAGTTACTATGCCAAATGTTTTACACAAGTATAACACATTCAAGCCTCATACCCTTGTGAGTTAAGTGCTTTTATCTCATTTTACTGAAGACGGTAGAGAGAGGAGGTGTATAATAACGTGCCTAAGAACATAGAATTTGTGAGAGGCAAAGCTGGCATCTATATCCAGGAATATGACCCTTTAGCTGCTGTGCTCAACTTCCCTTTCATACTCTTGATAACTAATGTATGGTATATATTTCCCAATCTGTCATTAGCAGGCAGTGGGTATCATTTAGCAGTAGATAGAAAAATGGCCTTTTCCCTTTTACTCAACTTTCTCTACTATAGTTATAGGGTATAACTATAAATCATGAGTATGGTTTGTAGTTTGGCTGTACATTTTTTTGTTTTTCTGTTCTCTTTTAACCTGAGAAATCTATGGAGGAAATTCAGGGAAACCCTAAACTTTCTGAAGTTTTATGCAACATTTTGAATAAACTTACAGGCACTTCCATAGTTTTCATAAGATAAATTCTGTGGAATGTAAGTTTCCTTTTAAAATGTAACATTAAAAGAAGAAGTTAACACTATGTTTTTGTTTTTATTTTATTTGTTTTTATACAGAGTTTGGATTAGCTGATAGAATAACTAGAAGCGCTAGAACAGAATGGTTCTACACTTAGGCTCTGCATTAAAAACCCAGTTCCATACGACTTCCAAACACAGAAGGATATTAAAGGTTAAAATGATAGCAGCTACATTTTCTGATAGCTTATCACAAGTTAATATTCTGAATATTTTACACAAGTGAACATATTTAACACTCATAACCACTTAAATACTATTATTGTCCCCATTTTACTGATAAGGGAATAGAAAAGGGCAGGTAAGTAACTTGCCTATTATGTTTTTAATTGTGCAAGTTACTTGGATTCCTCGTGCCTGAATTTCTTTGCATGTACAGTGGGAATAAGAGCTACCTCAGAGGACTTTGGGAGAAGAGCATGTGATAATGCATACAGAATGTATAGTATCATACCTGGAACGTATTAAATTCTCAATAAATGTGCTTTGAAAAGTAGTTTTTTTAGCACATACTACTCAGTTATATGTTCTCTGTCATGTCTTTCATGAAAACTTCAGATATTTCTAGTATGCTGTATATCTTTAACATTTATTTTACTTAGAGTTTTTGGTACTCACTAATGGAAATAACTTTGTGGCTGTGTCAGGAAAGGTATAATGTGAAGAACAACTTTTTATTTTATGGGAAAGTACGTTTATTTTGCTACCATGAATGTTCATGAATATTAAGTTGCCCATTGATTTTCCTCTTTTCTAGGTAGTTAGATTTCATGGTGGAGCTCTTCCTGCTTATGTTATGTCTAGTAACCTTCTTGCTTATGGAGGACAGTTATATTCTCTTTTCTCAACAGGTAAGAATGCTTATGATTTTTAAGTTACTTTTGTTATATTAAGGTAAAGCAGTTATTCCATATTTGTATTTATATATATTTCATTATATTGAATTAGTAGACACAATAAGGGACTACACAGAAAGTATATAACAGCAGCTACTGCTTCTGTTCTTGAAAACTCCAAATACCACGTGATTTTATGATCAGTCTTTCCTGCATTGTTATCACTTTTTCACTGTCAACTACCAGTGTTAAACTGGTTTGGGGCAGCTGGTCCAGAGACATTCTGTTTGTAGTCTTAAGCCCTGCAAATGATTAACATTCCCTTAGCCTGTCACTTTTGTATCAGTGTCATTTTTTTAATGGGAAAAATAATGTTATTTTAAATCTAAGCAACAGTTAAATAGTTTTTAAAAATATATATGGATTGAACAGTGTAATCCTTCATATAAAATTTTTTTCAGTATTTATGTCTTAAAAAGAGACAAAAAAGGGCCTGGCACCCGTAACTCAGTGGTTAGGGCGCCAGCCACACAAATATACCTAGGCAGGCGGGTTTGAACTTGACCTGGGCCTGCTAAACAACGACAACTGCAACAAAAAGTACCTGCATGTTTTGGCGGCTGCCTGTAGTCCCACCTACTTGGGAGGCTGAGGCAACAGAATTGCTTAAGCCCAAGATTTTGAGGTTGTTGTGAGCTGTGATGCCATGGTACTCTACCAAGGGTGACATAATGAAACTCTGTCTTAAAAAAAGAGACAAAAAGTTAACAAAACACATCAAAAAAATTAACAATAGTGCCCTAATATTCTCAAATAATTTTTTAAATAAAAAAATTTTTTGAAGCTTAATTGTGCATATTTGTGTGTGTAATATTTTAATACATACATATAATTTGTAAAGATCAAGTCAGAGTAATTAGGGTATCTGTCACCTTAAACATTTATCATTTTTTTGTGTTGGGAACATTATAAATCTTTAGCTATTTTGACATATGTAATAAATTATTGTTAGCTGTAGTCACCCCACTATGCTATCACTAGAAATTTCTCTTTCTAACTATATTTCATATCCATTGATCTATCTTCCTTTGTTCCTCCCTCCCACTCCTCAAACATTCCCAGCCTCTGTTAGCTATCATTCTATTCTCTACCTTTGTAAGATCAACTTTTTTAGCAACCACGTGAGTGCGAATATGTGATATTTGTCTTTCCATGCCTGACTTATTTCACGTAACATAATATCCCATCCAAATGACAGAATTTTATTCTTTCTTGTGGCAAATAATATTCTGTTGTGTAAACATACCATATTATCTATTCACCTGTTGATGGATACTTTGATTCCATATCTTGGCTTTTATGAATAGTATTGCAATAAACATAAGAGATACCTCTTTGATATATGGATCTTTTTTTCTTTTGGACATACACCTAGCAATAGGATTGCTGGATCATATGGTAGATCTATTTTTAGTTTTTTGAGGAACCACCTTACCATTTTCCATGGTAGCTGTGCTAATTTACATATCAGTAGCGTACTAGTGTTCCCCTTTTTCCCACATCTTCACCAGCACTTGTTATTTTGTCTATTTTAATAATAGCTATTTTAAATGGAATGAGATGACAACTCATTGTGGGTTTGATTTGCATTTCCTTAATGATTAATGAATGATGTGGAGTGTTATTTAATATATCTATTGGTTGTTTGAATGATTCTTTTATAAAATGTGTGCTGAGATCATTTGCCTATCTTTAATTGGATTATTTGGGACTTTATTATTGAATTATTTAAGTTCCTTATATATTCTGATTAATTCCTTCTCATGTGGATAATTTGCTAATATTCTCCTCCGTTCTGTAGGTCGACTCTTCACACTATTATGACCTTTGCTATGCAGAAGCTTTTTCCACTTGTCTATTTTAGCTTTTTTGCCTGTGCCTTTGAGATCTTACCCAAAAATCCTGTCCTCAAATTAATAGCCTGAAGTGCTTCTCCAATGTTTTCTTATAGTAGTTTCATAGTTTCAGTTTTACATTTAAGTCTTTCATCTATTTTTATTTGGTTTCTGTATATTGAATCTAATTTCATTCTTCTGCTTATGAACATCCAGTTTTCCCAGCACCATTTATTGAAGAGACTGTCTTTTCCCAAATGTATAATTGTGGCAGCTTAGTCAAATTGGCTGTAAATGTGTAGATATATTTCTGGGTTCTCTATTCTTTTCCATTGGTCTGTGTATCTTTTTTTAAGGTTGATACCTTACTATTTGGGTTGCTGTAGTTTTATTATATATTTTGAAGTCAGGTTATGTGATATCTCTGTATTTTTTCATTTTGATAGGAATTGCTTTGTTTATTCAGGGTCTTTTGTGATTCTATACAAATTTTAGGATTGCTTTTTCTATACCTATGAAGAATGTCATTGGTATTTTTTAAATCTGGAGATCACATTAGGTATTACCACTAAGAACCTCAGATCTAAAAGCCTCTTGAGGGCTAGGAAGCCTAACCAACTGCAGACTTTATCAAACTACAGCCTGCGGGCCACATGTGGCCTGCCAAGGACATATATCCAGCCTACCGGGTGTTTTTGCCACTGCTATCTGTCCTGCTTAGCAGCTTACTCATCCTAGGGCCTGTAGTCCGGCCCTCCAGTGGTCTGAGAGACAGTGAATCAGCCCCCTATTTAAAAAGTTTGAGGACCCCTGCACTGTATTTAGCCTTAAGGTCCCTGGGCCTGATAAGAAGTGAAGTCTTTTTTTTTTTTTTTTTTTTTCAGTTTTTGGCCAGGGTCGGGTTTGAACCCACCACCTCTTGTATATGGGGCCAGCACCCTACTCCTTTGAGTCACAGGTGCCACCTAAGAAGTGAAGTCTTTATTTACTCATTATAAGTTTGGGAACCTGAGAAGTCAGGTATTCTGTGGATCTTCTCAAATATGACATGTTAATGCCTTAGTTGTATAACCAAGAGTAAATTATATCTTGCTATAAAGAGAAAGCATATTTTTATTGGATTTGTGTAAATAACCATATTGCCATAAGAATATGTAGTAAATAATTTCTGAGTTTTATAGGAATCAAGTAAAGATTCAGCTGGGTGTTTTTTCTTATTGGTTACTACACCAGCCGTGCACACCAGGAGCCATGGGTTCAAACCTTGCCTGGGCCTGATTAACAAAAATAAAAAGGGGGGAGTAGTCCTGGTGGCTCATGCCTGTAATTCCAGCAGTGTAGGAGGCCAAAGCACGTGGATTGCTTGAGGCTCAGGAGTTTGAGACCAGCCTGAGCAAAAGTAAGATCCCAGCATTGTGCCAGGCACTTGTGGCCCCAGCTACTCAGAGCCTGAGGCAAGAGAAATGTTTTTTTGTTTTTTGTTTTTGAGACAGAGCCTCAAGCTATCCCCCTGGGTAGAGTGCTGTGGCATCGCAGCTCACAGCAACTTCCACCACCAGGGCTCAAGTGAGTCTATTGCCTCAGCCTCCCAAGTAGCTGGGACCACTGGCACCTGCCACAACGCCCGGCTATTTTTTGGTTGCAGCCATCATTGTTGTTTGGCGGGTCCAGGCTGGATTCGAACCCGCCACCTTAGGTGTGTGTGGCTGGTGTCTTAGCCACTTGAGCCACAGGCGCCTATCCAAGAGAAATGTTTTGAGCCCAAGAGTTTGAGGTGGCTGTGAGTTATGATGCCATGTCACAAAAATATTATCAGTTATCATTAATTTTTGTTTTGCGTGATCTTAACAAGCAGTTTCATGAACCCGTTGATATCTTCATCAAAGTTCTAGAAAGGTTTATTTAATGCATTGATCTTAAAGTTATTAGAAATTTCTGTTCATGAGTACTTGTTCGAGTCTTTTCTACAAAAAGCAATTTGGACTAAGGCTAATTGCAAATACTTTTTTTTTTTTTTGAGACAAAATCTCACTATGTCACCCTCAGTAGAGTGTTGTGGTGTCACAGCTCACAGCAACTTCAAATTCTTGGGCTTAAGTGATTCTCTTGCCTCAGCCTCCCAAGTAGCTGGGACACAGGCACCCACCACAACACCCGGCTATTCTTTCTGTTGTTGTTGTTGCAATTGTCATTGTTTAGCTGGCCTAAGCCATGTTCAAACCTGCCAACCTTGGTGCATGTGACCTGCACCGGGACCACTGTGCTGTGGGCGCCAAGCCTCCCCTTGCTTGATTTCCACTGTATTTTACTTCACTTTGTGCACGCTTGTGTTCATAGGTTAGTTCTAGTTTAATAACAAGTACATATGGTGTTTTTCTATTCTTTAGATACTTTACTTAAGGTAATGGTCTCCAGTTGCATCCAAATTGATGCAAAATGCCTTAATTCATCCTCCTTCATGGATAACTCATATTCCTTAGTTTTGTTAATCCACTGATGAATTGATGTATTGATGTGAACTTGGGTTGATTCCACATGTTTGCAGTTGTGAATTGTGCTGCAGCAAACATTCAAGTGCAGTTATCTTTTCATAAAATGACTTCTTTTCATTTGGCTAAACACCTAGTAGTGGGATTCCTAGATTAAATGATAGGTCTACTTTTAGTTCTTTGAGGAATCTCCATACTGATTTCCATAGAGGTTGTACCAATTTGTAGTCTCACCAACAGTGTGGAAGCATTCCTTTCTCTCTGAATCCATGCCCAGTGTCCATTATTTTTGGTCTTTTTAATAAACACCATTCTAACTGGAGTAAGGTGAAATCACATTGTGGTATGGTTTGTTTTTACTTTATTTGGAAGTGACTCTGACATTTAATGAATACCTATTATTAATTTAGTGTAACTTTAATTTCAAATTACATGAAAAGTTAATTTATAAATGTTATTTTATTTACATTTACCTAATTTATATTTAAAAATTTACTTAGATTACTTATAAAAAAGAGATATTAGACAAAACTAGCCATCATTAAAAAAAAAAAAAAAAAAACTAGCCATCATTTTAAATTATTTTTCTTAACATTTTTGTAGCCTGTGAATATCAGGTTTTAACCTAAGT